AGAGAGAGAGAGAGAGAGAGAGAGAGCGAGAGAGACAGAGACAGAGAGAGACAAAGAGAGACAGACAAGACAGAGACAGAGACAGACAGACAGACAGACAGACTGGCAAACAGAGAAAAGGAGTGGCCATTATCCCAGAGTTTCTCATAAACAAGTTTCACCTCGCCTACACCAGGCAGGTAATTAAGATCGGAATGAGTTAAGGAAACTTTTTTAAAACGCTCTAGTAAACCTTTTTAAAAAGTATTAGTTTGAGTACAGACCTCTTCATAAAACTCCTTGATCAACCTTGTATTTCTGTGTGTGTATTTGTGTGTATGTGTGTGTACGTGTGTGAGTGTGTGTTTGTATTTGTATATGTGTATGTGTGTCAAGTCTATGTGTTTGTATGTGTGTATGAGTATATGTGTGTGTTTGTGTGTTTGTTTGTGAGTGTGTATTTGTGTGTGTTTGTGTATGTGTGATTGAGTGTGTGTGTGTATGTGTGTGTGCATGTGTGTGTGTGTGCATGTGTGTGTGTGTGTGTGTGTGTGTGTGTGTGTGTGTGTTTATGCGTGTGCAACCACCACCACCTGCTCTTATTACCACCATGGGTGGTTGGCGGGTGCTCTGGTGTGGTTTGCTCCTTCTTTCCTATCAAACACATATCGTCCTTATCTCTCCTTCTTCTTTTTATGTTTGTTACTCTCTTGTAACACCTCTAATCTTCTGGCGCTCATATGGCCTTATGCAGTTGCGAGTGCCGTAAAACCACTTCTAAAACTAAAACTTACTACCACAATCACCCACTACCACTACCACCACTACCACCACCACCACCACCACCCCCACCACCACCCACACTTACTACCACCGCCACATACACCAGCAATCACCCACCACTACCGCCAACACTACCACTACCAACACCACCACAACACCACCACTACCACACCACTACCACACCACCCACCACCAACACCACTGTAACCACAGTTTAGTATATCTACAGTCTGTCAGAGTAAGTGATGGGCATAATCCGGATTACCGGACAATTCTCAATGAAACATTATCCGACTTCAGACTTAAAACTCTCTTTCCTAACACGTATATTTGATTAAATCGAAGTGGATACACCCATTTGTTGAAGTGATTCTAACCCATTTGTTGAAGTGGTTCTAACCTGACTATTTGCCGAAGCCGTTCATATCATATTTGCTGAACGTAAGTGCTTGGCGGGTGCTCTGGTGTGATTTGCTCCTTCTTTCCTATTAAACATCTATCGTCATTGTCTCCCCTCCTTCTTGTTTGTGTTTGTTACTCTCTCGTAACACTTCTAATCTTCGACACTTACATGACCTTATTGTGCTGCAAGTGCCGTAAAACACTTACTAAAACATTTGCCCAAGAGGTGCACTAACATAATTGGTCGCTTTTAAGGACAAGCGGGCTAACCCAGATTTCGGGGGTTTCCAGAAATCTTTACTTACACCAAAAGTGGGCATTGCCCTACCTTTAGGAAAAGTTTGGTTTCATTGGTGTGTTTATTTGTTTGGTTATGGATAAAACTCTCATCGTCTTTTAAAGAATCTGAATAAGGACCCCAAAACTTTACCTTCGATTTTTCTCAAAACAGCATTTTTCGGGATAGCCCCCTTGCGCTTAGAAGCGACCAATTATTATCCGGATTTTGGTAAAGCGACTCAGTGGCCAGCCCTCGCCAGAGCCTGTGCCAGCGGGCCCGTGATACATGGTCGGAATACATTCCGCTAATCACGTCACAGTCACGCACGTGCACGGTATACT